TTTTCACTGAGATCATTAGAAATAGTCTAATATATGATTTTAAACCCGATTTAATATCTTTGAGCAGAGATATACTATAGATTTAATAGACATACAGTTAGTACTAATTTCCAATTTGTTGTGTATGCTGCTTGACGAATTATCAATTCACCTGAACACAAATTGTCACTTAGAGTTATTGGTCATCGGACGTTATGTTTAAACRTAATATATTTGAAATTTTATGCAACGATGATTTGGGAAGCAGAAACTCACTGACACATTACTACTATATTTTACTAAATTGTGTGGGGTTCCTGTGTGATACACCACAGGAAGCCCTTTACCCAGTCAATCATCAGTTCAAAATGGCGATTGTTGTTTAMGAAGTGTTTTTCTCGATGATCAGAAAATAGCAGTCCCAAGGCAAGAGGAGGATTCAAAATTTTTTGCATATATACTGCATATTGGCAAATTGAATCAAAAGCTATGTTAAGGCCTTTACTTCATCAAAGCTGTCTTGTTGTTTGATGAAATTGTTTATCTTTTATTGCAGAGAATTATTTCGTGTTGTTCTTCAATCCTATGCATACTCAACCTTTACAACAKAGAATTAGACTTTAGAAGACCAGARTACTGYCTGGAAATGTCATTTACAAGGCCTGTACAACTTACAGTACATTGTTTACAGTTCTTGGTGACGTTTCTYGTTCATATGAATCTTCATCTACTGGTGTATTCAAGCCCTTCATGTTCTAGCGGTTTAGAATACGATTGCAAGTCTCTACAAGGCAATGGTACCGCTTGTRTTTGGGGTTGTAATACAACTGTAACAAAACATCTTTCCCCAGGTAAGTCATGTCGTAGTTAGCTTGTAGCAAAAGAATCCCTTTGCCAGCCAAGGAGAATATTTTTTTTAGGAGAAAAATCAGATCAGGGGGTTACAGCCATTCTCAATCATACGCTCCCTCTAGCGATTGTTTTTGTTGCGACAAAGTAGATTTTGGTGGACATCAATCAAAGCGTTTCTATGACATTCTATAGGCACGTGCCCTTATAGCTTTGTGTTTTCTGACAATGTTATGGAAACGCCTTGTGATTGAGGAGAAAAATCAGAAACTCCTCGAATTTAATTCCCTTTTTCAAGGGCACTTGAMWAGCTCTTGAATTTTATGATTTTAGCAAAACTCCTTGAAAGATCCTTGAAATTTTGCTTGCATGGTTCTGAAATAGATCTAGTCAGAAAGATCAGAAAATCTGAAAGTCGGCCATGTGCAACCACCGTGTAAAACCTTGGCATAGTTAGCTGAACATACTCCTTGAAAATTSATTTTTGGGTCCTTGTATACTCCTTGAATAGTCCTTGAATTTTAAGTGGTTACCTCAGCAYGAACCCTGAATTAGTCTTTGCTTAGGATCATAAAATAACTGTCATAGATTTCACTTTCGGAATAATTGGTTTGGCATATACATGCTTTACAGACAGCACATATCATGGAAATGCTATGTACTTATCGACTGAGTGGAAGGGCTGTACGGGAAAATATTTTGCTCGAGGTGATGCCGTACAGACCGAGCGCAGCACAAAAAGAAAAATAATCAAAAAAAAGAAAGCACGCGGATTCRARCAGGGCCRTACGGATTCGTACGGCCCTGCTCAMGCCATTTTCCYGAAGGTTYTTCTAAGAGCRCGYKCCCKGGCAGATACGGGTCATATGATAAACTCCCTTATTTACCATTCCCATCCAAAATAACAGCTATTCTAAAATATATTTCATAAGAGGAATAAMAACTTGCTTTCTGTGCTTTATTTTATTTGTTATAGYAGGCTACRAAAATAGGCAAGACAAGAGTCCTGATGTGGAGTTATAAAACACTTAAATTGATTTTCAGAACACTTGAAAAGAAAAGTGCTCTGCTATGTGTTTTGCTCCTCCCAACACTTCTCTTTTGTTCTGCTAATTCTACTTACAGTGCAAATCRAAAAACTGTGGGCACYWAGARATRTTCTAGGAATGTTCTATTCTTCTTTKGCCAATCAGAATTGACTTTCTWACTGCAAGATAACGAAAAGATGACAATAAYRCTTCTGATTGGCTATTGAACATTCTTGAAACATTTCAACATGCGCATAGGTTTTTCAATTTGCACTGTGATTATAACTGCCTATAGTGCATGCACACATTTCCTATTTCTTTAGTACATTTGACATTCTACTTGATTTTCATTTCAATAGGAYATTGCTTAGATGACTGCTGCAAATATTGCTTCTCCAATTGCCAAGAATGTTTTTATGTCAARATTCTACGTTTTTGTATTCATGGTTCTACCAACTCTTCATTTGCAAAACATCTTTTGGACAAAACATTCAAGCMATCACAAACCCTGGATCAGGTCATAAGAACTTCAGTATTGAATGTTTTGTCTTCAATTAACCAAACCTTCAAGACTGAGCTACTTCAATCTAAATGGTATTCTAAAAGCTATAACATTATTCAGGTGTATGTTAGAATCACCAGTAGAAAGAAAACTACAGAAACTGTAGCAATAGATATTATAAGAAATGCAACGAAGACTGGCCAGTTGGGTGGATTAACTGTGTCTCCTGATGTTTTTGACGTAATGACAGAAAAGGATTATGATTTGTTAATGAATAATGAAGGAGAAGAAGACAATTTAGATGTGGTTGAGCTGATTGCAGCATGCATCGGAGCATTAATCATCCTAGCTGCAATTTGTTGGCGTTTGTTTTATATGTGTACAACACCACATCARAGAAATAGATGCAATCCCTGTGGTYGAAGAACCGGAATAGATGCATGAAAAATATCTGGAAATATATTRCTCAACACAGGTTATCTCAGAACTGCTAATGAGGTGAAATCMAATACAAGACTCCAAGGTATTTACCATTTTTGTAATGTGGTGTATTGTGTTCATAGTATGTGATCCATACGTATTGTGCCACAATAATTATTAAGGTTAGTCACATCAGATAATATATGTAATTGACTAATTTTTCTGATTAGCCAATAACAAAATGAGAAAGAGATTGAGTTCAAGTTTGAAAACCTAACTTAAGTTTCCAGAAAGAGATACAAAGCTTACTAACCACATTTCAGGATGTTTGACTGTATACAAACCCTGTATGGTGTTCTGCCAAACATTCCAGCCAAATCCAAAAAATTGTCAAATTATGATTATACTCTTCTTACTATTAAAGTATGTGACTGTTGTTCCTCTCATTGTCATATTTATTCATGTTTTGAAGAGAAGAACATAGGTAACAGAACTTTAACTTATAAAAGGGCTTTAAGGACATTCAGGGGAATTGATTAYATTGCATGAAATTATCAATTAAATAAACAAGTTTTTCAGTTTTTCAAACTCATAAGTCAGTGTCCCCTATTTTTTTTATCTTGTATATATTAGAAGGTCAAGAAAATCTTTAATTGTAGAAAATCTTTTAAAGATTTTGATAATAAAAAATCTACAAAGCTTTTCGCTGTCGTATCACAGCGTGGGACAATCACAACAGAGCTAGGCTCCAAATTAAGTGAAAACCCAAAGATCGAATTAGAATTTAGAAGTTGATTTTTGAGGAGGGAGGAAAACTGGGGGACCCTGGAGGAAAACCCTCGAAGCACAGGAGAGAACCAACAAACAACTCTACTCACATACGACATCGAGATCGCCAGAACTCGAACTCGGGCCGCATTGGTGAGAGGTGGTGCATTAGCAGTGCACGCCACCAGTGTTATAGAGAAACCAGTGCTATATAGAAACTTAACAAAACAAATTCAATGGAAAATTGTGCTCACTATTAATGGTACTCTTCACATGTGCTAAATAAATAAAGTTAGTTATATGATGGATTCCTCATCAAAAAGAAGGATGAAATATATTGCTTTTTTATCAAAATGTGCCACTTAACAGCTTACTATGCTTCAGTAAAACAAATATTAAATTCAAATATTATCAATACCCTGAAACCTGGGCCCAGTTGTTCAAAGCCYGATAAGTGCTAATCCTTGGTTAACTCTTAATAAGACCTATAGAGTTAATCCTGGATTAGCGCTAATCAAGCTTTGAACAACCTGGCCCTGGGCTGATCTAAGTCAGGGCACAACTAACTAACAGAACATTTAAACAACCTCTGGGCTGATATGAGTTAGGACACAGCTATTTTGCAGACCAAACCCTGAAACAACTTCTTGGCTCATATGTTGGGACATTTGCTAACTCACAGATCAAACCCTAAACAACCTCCAGACTGATCCAAGTTGGGGCAAGACTAACGCAAAGATTGAATTAAAATTTCGTTTGCCTGGTTTTGCAGAGAAAKGAGAACCTAGAGAAAAACCCTCAAATCAAGAGAAAGACCTAACCTATACTCACTAAGGTGAGAGCTTAGAGCACTGCTGCTGATTTGACCTATAAAAATGTTACTTTCCCACACCATGTGAAAAATGAACAAAGCCAGTGAACCCCCTTTGTTATTAAAAAAATGTGGTGAGCGACCATTTTACCCCTGAATTTCCTTAATAGTACCATGCCATTTCCCTTTCAAAATATCCTCCCAGCTGAGTACCTGCCCTAGTTGAGGATGGCATTCATAGTTGATCAGGAATGAAAGGGATCCATTATATGGTGAGAGAACTCTGTCCCAGAGGCTCATGCTTGTGAGGTTTCCAACAAAACTCTGTTTTTGTTGGAATCTTCCGCCCAGGTTATCCTGGTCTTGTCCAATGATTGCAATGCCATTTGTAATGGTTTGACCTGCTGCTAGGTTGCTTCCCTTGCCACGCATGTGTCCATCAATATAAACCTGCCAGTTGCCTGAAGAGCTTTCCCATGTTGCACAAATATGATGCCACTTGCCATCATCTATTGCAATCTGGACTTTTCTGTCATATCATTGTATAATTAGTAATATACCATGAACATTTGAGGGAAGTTGTGAAGTACCCATGTAAGGAAATAAACGTTACTTAATAAAGTTAACTATATTTGCTATTATTACAGATGGRTTGCAGTTGTGTATTCTATATTGGAAAGTTGTTGTTGGGCTGTAGTTGATCATTAGTTGTTGTGTATGACAGGGTGTGGTAGTTGTGTATCCTATGTGGGRAGGTGTTGTTTGTTGGGTTGTAGTTGATCATTAGTTGTTGTGTATGACAGGGTGTGGTAGTTGTGTATCCTTTGCGGGGAGGTTTTTTGGGTGAGGTGTAGTCCTTTATGTTGTCGYGTATGGCATCGACAGGGTGATTTGATTGTGGTGGTAGTTGTGGAGGAGGTGTTGTTAAATGGGTGTAGTTGTATATCCTATAGTAGGAGGTGTTGTTGGATGGTTGTAGTTGTATATCCTATAGTAGGAGGTGTTGTTGGATGGGTGTAGTTGTATACCCTATAGCAGGAGGTGTTGTTGGATGGTTGTAGTTGTATATCCTATAGCAGGAGGTGTTGTTGGATGGTTGTAGTTGTATATCCTATAGCAGGAGGTGTTGTTGGATGGGTGTAGTTGGATATCCTCTAGTAGGAGGTGCTGATGGATGGTTGTAGTTGTATATCCTATAGCAGGAGGTGTTGTCCGGTAAGGTGTAGTTGGATATCCTCTAGTAGGTGCTGTTGGATGGGTGTAGTTGTATACCCTATAGCAGGAGGTGTTGTTGGATGGGTGTAGTTGTATATCCTATAGCAGGAGGTGTTGTTGGATGGTTGTAGTTGTATATCCTATAGCAGGAGGTGTTGTTGGATGGGTGTAGTTGTATATCCTATAGTAGGTGTAGTAGTTAGGGTTAGGGATTAATGGATTTATTTTCTTAGTTCATTGAATACTTACATATTTTTATTAGAAACATATAGATAGAAAAGATTGTTGTCCATAAAGATGCCTAAGTGGTTTGACATGGTTTCACTCGCTAGGGAGAATGGTACAACTTCGTGTCGTACTTCAATGGGCTGGAATTGGGCCATCAGACTAAGAGTGAAAGCTGTCAAGTTGGTATTGAACRATGTGTTCAACTTGATGTAGTCATCTACTGACTTGCGTGGAAAGTACAAGACTCTCTTATTTAGAACTGGTAGAGAGAGAAAACCAGTGAGTATTAGGATTTGCTTTTATGAATATGATTTCTACGGATCCCACCAAACTGTGTCAGTGCTTCAAAAATTCGTGCCACTACCACACCCACATTTTTATGCTGTCACGCCCATATTCATCCGTTAGTGGGCGTGTTAGCAATATGGTTSTGGTAGTGGCCCAACAGTTTGGAGAGATCCATAGTATAATTAGTATTAAGAAAACACTGCTGCAAATCATTCACTCTGATTGCTTAAACCTAAGGAAGGTGCTATTTTTATTGGGGGTGGGCTGGGGGGTTTGCAGTGAATTTTAAAAAAATGGTTGTAGCCTCCTCTTCACTCAGCAAGAAATTTATGACYATCCTATAAATTAAGTCAACAAGGAAACTGAAGGTATGTATGACCCTTCACAAAAGTTCATTTATTTTACTGATGACCCTCACCTCTGAAGCCCCATCCCTTCCTCAATGGATAAAGTACCTACCCTAATAGTGGTTTTTATAACATTAGCCACAATATAATGCGCACTCTGATTGGTTAATTAACGTGCATGAGCATGCATACAGAAATGGATGGTGCACGCTGACTTGATTGAGTAGCACGCGCTATTTAATGAAGATTTCATTAGAACAAAACTTGAAATTTTGATCAACAGATATTTTTTACAGTTTTGCTATGTTGTCAAAGCAATGGTCAATGCTTAGTTGTGCATATACATTGTAGATACATACATTTATTTGCAAAAAATGCAAAACGATTCTTAAATTCAAAAATTAATATCTTTGTCATTTTGGGGGATAATCTTTACTTAACTTTGCAGTTTTACTATTATCAATGTGACAAATTTGATAGTAAACTCCTTTTWCCAATAAATCGAATATCTTATATGTCATGCTAGCGTGATAAGGGTAAATTAAAAGAAAAGGAGGCAGAGGTTTTTCTGGTCTTTAGACTGACGCTCATTGAGCGAGCCATGCACAACGCTTACCTTTGCAGCACTTGTCAGGATATACGCATTGGTATCCCTGTGGTTTATACCCTGAATGACACTCCATCATTGGTGGACACGTGATATTCCGACAGTTGTTCTAAAAGAGAGCMCAAAACATAGCTGAGCTGGAAGGGCATAGCGTCAATATGTTTGGTATATGTTTTATATGCATATGTTTTTACCCTATTGGTAAGATATTAGGTTCTAGCCCAGGGTATTTGTAACACTTTATTACCGGTGATTGATAACTCTTAAAACTTCAGTGTATGTGAGCTTAGCCTCATCTGAGTTCGGTAAAYAATGGCAGAAATTAGAATAACAAAACAWGTAACTCCTGGATTCGAGACTAARCATACACTGGGGTTGAAAGAGTTGCCAATAACCTATTTATTAAAAWAAAAAACCCTAATATGGAATTGTCTGGTCTGCCAATAACATTACTGCACAAGACAGTGATCATTTAGCAAAGAGAATGTCTGGCTGTATGCTATGTAGCTTTTTCTGACTRACCTTTGTTCCTTGGTAGATCATTCCCAGTTTGTAAACCAAGTCACGTGGGTGTGTTTCAGMCTCAGAAGAACTCAGCTGGCAGTTGGCAGAGTTGGCAGGGTTTTGATCAAAGTTGGTGGACACACAYCTTGGTTCCATRTAACAYTGAATACGACATTGCTSAGGTGTTTCAACCGTCTTGTTTTCAATGACATGCCCAATTAAGGCTTTGTCTGGGATGGACTGAAAGTACWCTTGGTTACGACAACCACCTTGATGCATAACGCAACCTGCGAGTGTGAATGAAAGAAAATATGACATCACTAGGCAGGATATACTGATGACCGCTACAAACAGACAATGAGGTTTTGCCACAAAACCTACAACCAAGAAGCACTGGAATGGAAAAGCCTCTTGAACCCAAACTAACTGAAAAAAAGCACCGAGATGGAGTTGAGTAACTGCCAGAGACACCAAAACGCAGGTAACTACTACAAGACTACCTTACTATAACCTATGGATCCCATGCACTGACCCCACACATCTTGGGGCTCAAAACAAAAGATTTCCCTTCTATTGTGGATTGAAACCTTTTTTTATTAATGATATCTTTCATAGTCTAACACCCAGGTGGAGRTTTAGTGCAAGGGRTCTATTCATTGTCAAAACATATTCAGTATATATAAAGGTTTAGAGCCTGGGATCTTGGAATTTTGGGGTCCTAACTATTGTTGTCCAAAGAGCTTTTGTTACCTTTGTAAAACGAAAGCCATGAAATTGTATTCTTTATTTGCTATTCTTGGCCACCTATAATGYTTTACAATGGAAATAAAGGACGCCTTTTACCATACAACAGTATGTTCTAAGATGCATGCCCCAGTAGCCAAAGCATTATCTTTTCGGAGAAGCTAGCTAACCACATCCTCAATTTAATTAACCCTATGGAGTTTGTTTCACTTTTTGATGAAATTAAATAATCATTTCATAGTATTATACGATAAAAATGATAGTGCTATGACATACCTATTTTTCTACGGTATAGTTGTTAATATTTGAC